CGGGTGTCTCTCATCCGAGAGATGCTGAAGAGCCCCTTTAGGAGGCGGCTCCTCAAGTGAAACCCTCTCTCTGTTTCTCGCACGAGCTTCCCACGCACTCCCTGGCTCACCTCTGGATGGCGGTGTCCCGGCACTTGCCCTGCATGGGCACCACTGTCTGCCAGTCTGTCCCCGCCCCGTGCACAGAGAAACTCCCTAAGGAAAAGCACCCTGGCTGAACATCCAGAGACGTCAGCATCCATCGCAGAGCCTGGCAGGCGCTGCTGGCCGCCGGGCGCTTAGCTTAGGCTATCACACATGACACAGACGCCACCCATAGCCCATTTTGCAGATGAGGAGCTACAGCTCTCAGTGGTTTAGCTGTTGCACAGTAGAGCTGGCCAGTGGCAGTGCAAGCTGTTCTGGAAGGTCACCTGGAGTGTGATCACCTGGAATGTGATCGTCTTGCTGGGTGGACCTTGGATGGGTCTGTAGGGTCTTGCACAATCCCATGTGGTGCACAGTCAGGTCCCCACAGAGGCTGGTAGGTGGCCCTGTGCGTCCAGCTGTTGAGGGCCACTTCTCAGGAGAGGCCAGGAACCTGCACTGGATGCAGCTCCTCTGTCAGTGCTCAGTCGTGTCTGATTCTTTGCGACCCCATGAACTGTAGCCCTCCAGGCTCCTCTGTCCATGGGATTCTCCAGGCAAGAACACCAGAGTGGGTTGCCGTTTCCTTCAGAGGATCATCCCGACCCAGGGGTCAAACCACTGTCTCTGTGTCTCCTGCATTGGCAGGTGCATTCTTTACCGCTGCACCACCTGGGAAGCCCCTGCACCCTGGTTTTCATGTTTTTAGGCCACATAAGCCCACTAGCAGCTTGTGGTGAAAAGGCATCGCCACCTGCACCTTTTGGTCAGTTCAGTCCAGTCACTCAGCCGTGTCCGACTCTTTTTGACCCCATGGACTGCAGCGTTCCAGGCCTCCCTGTCCATCACCAACTCCCGGAGTTTACCCAAACTCATGTCCATTGAGTTGGTGATGCCATCCAACCATCTCATCCTCTGTCGTCCCCTTCTCCTCCCACCCTCAATCTNAACTGTTGCTTCTTGACCCACATTCAGATTTCTCAGAAGGCAGGTCAGGTGGTCTGGTATTCCCATCTCTTGAAGAATTTTCGACAGTTTGTTGTGACCACACAGTCAAAGGCTTTAATGTAGTCAATAAAGCAGAAATAGATGTTTTTCTGGAGCTTTTGCTTTTTCGATGATCCATCGGATGTTGGCAATTTGATCTCTGGTTCCTTTGCCTTTTCTAGATCCAGCTTGAACATTTGGAAGTTTATGGTTCATGTACTGTTGAAGCCTGGCTTGGAGAATTTTGAGCATTACTTTGCTAGGGTATGAGATGAGTGCAATTTTGCAGTGCTTTGAACATTCTTTGGCATTTCTTTTCTGGGGGATTAGAATGAAAACTGACTATTTCCTGTCCTGTGGCCACAGGACTTTTGGTCAGAACCTCACTAATCCTGCGGGGAAATTTGATCTGAACCAGACTGCATTCAACCTGCTGGAAAATTGCCAGCTTTGTTCTGGGATGGACTCCACCCTTAAAAAAAAAATCCCGTAAGAAGTAGGCACATTTGAAAATTCAGACATTCGAATACACACTCGGTATGAGGGAATACCAACACGTTATCATTCATCTTATTAGAGGTTCAATAGGAAAATGTTCTTAGTGTTTTAGAAGTACACCCTGAGTGTTTAGGGACTAAAACATCATGATAACTATAATTTACTTTAAGACAGCTTAGCAAGAAGGTGAAAATGATAAAATATGGAAAAGAGTTAAGACTTTATTAGATAAAGGGTCATGAGAGTTCATTATACCACCCTGTGCTCTACTTTCTGCCATAATTTGAAACCTTCATAGTAAAAAATGAAATGACAGTCCCAGGAAAGACTGAGATATTCTGAGATCTTTGCAGCCTCACCGCATCCTGCTGAGTCATGTGTGGCCACTCAAGGTGTCTAAACCCCCAGAATGAGATTGAGATCTGAGGACAGAGTGTCCAGGTAGAGAGTCGTTTGACCAGCTTCTTTCTGCTACAACCAACAGGCAGTTGCAAGTTCTGTGAACTGCATCTTGACTAGGAGGTGTCTTGGGGTTTAAAGGACCCATAGATTTTTCTTCTGTAAATTGAAGAGCATCTTCAGAATTGAAGGCAGCTCTCACTTGCTCATTGGCCGATGACCTGGGACCCTGCTGAGCTGCCTCCAGGTCCTGAGACCTTGGACAATTTCTCTACCCTTCCCGAGCCTCCACCGTGCTGGAAATATGCGGCGCTGGGAAAGCTCTGAGCACAGAGCATGCATGAAGACTCCACAAATATCCATCTCTTGTTCTGAACGGCTCAGTAGAAATTGCTCGGCTGTGAAACTCAACTTGCTGCCATGTTGGGTTTTATCAGGAGCTGGCTGGGGTTTCCCGGGACTGGCGAGCTCGAGGAATCTGTGCATGGCAAGGATGTGGGGTTCCTCCAGGTGGTAACCTTTCTGCCAAGCCCCTGTTGGCCCTGGGACCTGGGCCAGCAGGAGCCCTAGTGAAAACAGGCAGATTCGACTCTTGCATGGGATCCTCTGACCTTCACTTGGGGGTCCTCCCGTCCTCCCCTCCCAGGACCATGTAGCCCAGCACAGCCCCACAAGCCGCACGGGGAGCCATCCCCACCATCTCCTTGGTGCTCAGAGTATTTTGAGCATCCTTCCTCTGAAAAAGGAGGAATCCCCATGAGTTCTTCCTGGACTGCTGAGCCCCTTTCTTGCCTTCCTGCTGCAAAGCCTTTCAAACTGTCCTTGAGTGTTTCTTGTGCAGATTAAAAACCAGACCTGAGTAGCTCCATTCAGCATTAACCTGGCATATTAATCACCTTCCCAAGGAGGACCGTCTAATTGCTTATGATGGGTTGAAAGTTGGAGACTGGGGAGCAGACCCAGGCATCAGACGGGTGAGCGGAGCCCAAGTAACTGAGCTTGGGGCAAGGACCCGCGGTTCTCCTGGCCCGATGCCTTCACTGCCCCCACTGCAGGAGATTCCAGCCCCAACCTGGGACCGCGCTGGTGATCAAGTTGGACGCCCAGCCAGTGTTGGAGCGCCATTCCCCTCTGGAGAAACATCCGCTGAGGCACTACATCAGAGGGTGGCCCTGGGAGAAAGGACCTTGCTGTGACCTTGAAGCGGCCCCCGGGGAGCAGCAGATGCTCTGTGTTCCTTCCTCCCTGCTGGCACCCAGAGGAGGGTTGCAGATGAAATACAGGGCACCCCGTAAAATCTGAATTTCAGATAAACAGTAAATAATTTCCAAGTCTAAGTGAGTCTCAAATATTACATGGAAAGGTTTTATTGTATAGCCATACTTGAATACCGAAAAATTATTGAGTCATGAATTATTGAATATGGAGTTATGAGTACTGAAAAATTCATTGTTTTATCTGAAATTCAGATTTCACTGGGCATCGTGTCTTTTTATTTGCTAAACCTGGCAGTACATAAGAATCTCCCGGCTGTGCTTGGGTTCTTGGCAGGGCCTTGTGGGGACAAGGCTTGTCCTCAGGTGTCTCTGAGCATGTGGGCGCCTTCTGCAGACTTCCAGAGCCCCAGGCTGGCTGGGGCGGTTGGAGAGGGGGCGATGAGTGTCCTGCTCTGGGTGTGGGACCTCATGGGCGAGGAGCCCAGCCTCGCTCTGGGCCACAGTTTCCTCATTTATCATGTGAGACTCATCAGAGAGTGCGTCTCGTGTCCCTGTGAGGATGAGTAACCCTGTTCCTCCCGTCTCCTCGCTCTGCTGTGCCCTGTTAGCCCTACCCAGCCTCCAGTCTGGAAGAAGCGTCGCTTCCTCAAAGAAGGATGTCCCCCACCCCCAACGCAGGCCCGATTTTCTCGTTCCAAGCCAGCTCCCTCTCCCCACTGCCCCCCAGCCAGTTCAGACGCACATGAGCAGGTGGAGCTCTGGGATCTGTGGGGCCCATGGCAAATGTAGGGCCCCTCATGCCGAAATTATTCAGATTTTCAACATCGGGACAGCAGGTCACTGCACGGATCCAAGTTCTCACCCTGGGGCATGCCTGGAAGCCAGCCCTGCCTACAAGGGCCAGGCAGACATGGGGATGTGAGCCAGCAGGGTTCTGAGCGTGGACCTGGGACCCTGTGCCTGCCTCGGGGCCACACCGAGCAGACCCCCAGCCCCCGGAGTGGCCCTGGGAGTGGAGCCATGTCTCTATGTCTCCTAGTTTCTCAGAAAGGGTGGAATTTGTTTATTAATGAAACCCTTCTTAAATAGTGGTGACTGATTCCTATTTTAGAAAATTCCCGTGAAGGCAGAATTCAGCACCGCCTCTGGAGGGTGGCACACTCAGTGTGATGAATGACGTTATGCGCTGACCTGTGTGGTCACTGGATTGATTTATCTCCTCCACCAGGGCCACCCCAGTGACCCTTTGTGTTCATGGTCTGTCCCAGATCCCAGCGCCGTGCTCGGCACATTGCAGGTGCTGGGATTTCATTCGTTCCTGGGAATACACTGTAGGAAATTTCATGAACCTGCATTGCCCTCACTTAGCAGTATTAGTGGGCTTCCCTTGTGGCTCAGATGGTAAAGAATCTGCCTGCAATGCAAGAGACTTGGGGTTCAATCCTTGGGTTAGGAAGACCCCCTGGAGAAGGGCATGGCAACCCACTCCAGTATTCTTGCCTGGGGAATCCCATGGACAGAGGAGCCTGGGGGGCTACAGTCCATGGGGTCGCAAAGACTCAGACATGACTGAGCGACTCACACACACACACACCCCCCAGTAGTAGTGTCACGAGCATCTCCCCTGTTACTAAGTGTGGTCACACGTGTAAAGCCTGAGGCACACTTGCACTCGCTCTGGGTAAAGAAGATTGTTGGTCGCGTGTTCTCCGGGTGGTTGAGGAAAGCAGATAGCCTACCTGAGGATATCTGTCTGTCTGTCTGTCTTCTCAGGATGCCAAGTTTGTGGAGGAACGCAGGAAGCAGCTGCAGACCTACCTGCGCAACGTCATGAACAAAGTCATCCAGGCAGTCCCTGAGTTTACCGCCAGCCCCCAGAAGGAGACCCTGACCCAGCTGATGCCCTTCTTCGTGTGAGTACTGGTCACGTTCTCCGCCCAGCGCGGCCTGCCTGCTCTCCTCTGAGGTTAGGCTGCGGCGCGTGTCTGTGTCCTGGACACCCCAGGAGACCCAAGCGGGTGCAACCCACTCCAGTATTCTTGCCTGGGGAATCCCATGGACAGAGGAGCCTGGGGGGCTACAGTCCATGGGGTCGCAAAGACTCAGACACGACTGAGCGACTCACACACACACACACACCCCCCAGTAGTAGTGTCACAAGCATCTCCCCTGTTACTAAGTGTGGTCACACGTGTAAAGCCTGAGGCACACTTGCACTCGCTCTGGGTAAAGAAGATTGTTGGTCGCGTGTTCTCCGGGTGGTTGAGGAAAGCAGATAGCCTACCTGAGGATATCTGTCTGTCTGTCTGTCTTCTCAGGATGCCAAGTTTGTGGAGGAACGCAGGAAGCAGCTGCAGACCTACCTGCGCAACGTCATGAACAAAGTCATCCAGGCAGTCCCTGAGTTTACCGCCAGCCCCCAGAAGGAGACCCTGACCCAGCTGATGCCCTTCTTCGTGTGAGTACTGGTCACGTTCTCCGCCCAGCGCGGCCTGCCTGCTCTCCTCTGAGGTTAGGCTGCGGCGCGTGTCTGTGTCCTGGACACCCCAGGAGACCCAAGCGGGTGAGCCCGCCAGTCAGCATTATTGATTCAAGGCTCCCTCAAGTTCAGAACTCTGCAGTTTCGTCCTTTGGTAATTTTGATCGCAGGAAAGATTGCAGCCTTCTGGTGTCCCGGAGTTAAAGTAGTCTCTCTCAGGCTTTCTCAGGCATGTTGGCAGTGAACCCAAGGAAGCATCTCGAAGACTCCCACTGGTGCCGACTTAAATTGCTTTCATATTTATATGATTTAAGTATAAGCCGACGTAAAACTAGGTATGTAGTCCTTGTTCTTACAGGTCGTATAAAAGTAAAAGCAAAAAATATGTTTACATATCAGACACTTAGAACATTATCACAATTCAGAATCATCGATTAACACAGTGGCCACTGATTTTTATGAAACCAAGTCTTTGCTCACAGTGGTATGCAGACGAAGCTTGGCTTCTCCCAAGCTTGCTACATACCTTGCTGATGATCCACGTGCTGACCCCACCTCCCCCTGACCCAACTTTCCTCGGGTCACGTTGCTGGAAAACATCTGTTTGAGCCACACTTCGGGGCTGGTGGGCCTCACTGGTGTCCCTGCCTTATCACTGATTATTCCCCATAGTCCTCATCCATCTCTCATCATATCAAGACATCTGCATGCTGGGATTCAGGGAACCCAAATGATGAAGCTGTCCTTAGTTTTTATTGAGTCTTCAGATGCTAGAGAATATAATTATAGTCCACCCTTGAATCACATGGAGGTAAAAAGCGCTAACCTCCCTCCCAGTTGAAAATCTGTGTATAACTTTTCACTCCCCCCAAACCTAGCTGCTCATAACCTACTATTGACCTTACCAATGACATAAACAGTCAGATAACACATATTTTTGGGTGTCTACATTTATTTTATACATTTGTGACATTCCTAGCTTTTTCTTAATTTTTTAGTATTTCTAGACTATGCAGTTTATCTGTGAGTTTTTAAATCATTGCAAATCTTCAAAAATCTTTCTGTCTACTGAAAAATATCTGTGTATAAGTGGACCCACTCAGCTCAAACCCATGTTATTCAAGGGTCAACTGTATATGATTTATAAAATGTTATTGTTGTAGTGGAAACAATAGACCTAAGGATCCATATAGCAAACCCTCGGGCCTCTGAAAGTAGGTTGGGACTTGTCATTTGAGAAACACTGGTTTGCTGATAATGCAAGAGTTTCCTTTCCCTGGAGCTCTTCAAATGAGTGTGCTGAGGGTTTGCAGATCTGTTTTGTCCTAACGGTGATGCTGTAACTCAAATTGGGGCTTTTTTCTGCTTCTGTGTGTGGGGAGTATCTTTGGCTTCACACTTTCTGGAATTTCCAAGCTGAACTTCCAACCAGACATTGACAGGACTTACCTGCTCCATGAAATTAAAAGATGCTTGCTCCTTGGAAGAAAAGTTATGACCAAGCTAGACAGCATATTAAAAAGCAGAGACATTACTTTGCCAACAAAGGCCTGTCTAGTCAAAGCTATGATTTTACCAGTAATCTTGTATGAATGTGAGAGTTGGCCTATAAAAAAAGCTGAGCGCCGAAGAATTGATGTTTTTGAACTGTGTTGTTGGAGAAGACTCTTTTGAGAGTCCCTTGGACAGCAAGGAGATCCATCCAGTCTATCCTAAAGGAAATCAGTCCTGAATATTCATTGGAAGGACTGATCCTTCAAGCTGAAACTATAATACTTTGGTTACCTAATATGAAGAGCTGACTCATTAAAAAAGACCCTGATGCTGGGAAAGATTGAAGGTGGGAGGAGAAGGGCACGACAGAGGATGAGATGGTTGCATGGCATCACCGACTCAATGGACATGAATTTGAGTAAGCTCCGGGAGTTGGTGATGGACAGAGAAGCCTGGCGTGCTGCCTTCCATGGGGTCACAGAGTCAGACACAACTAAACGACTAAACTGAACCTGCTCCAGGCTTTGAAACTGAAGCCAAATCCGCTTACTCCCATCCTTCAAATTGTTTTAGGACCTTTATGAGAAGATTCAGTTGTTCTCTGCTATCTCTGATAAAAAAGATGTCTCCCCCTCTACCCCTCCAAATAGAATACACCATATGGTATTTTTCTTTCATTCGATTATTTGTGCTGCTAGGGGCTTGATTTTGAAAACACCATTATAGTTCATGAGAGGAGGTCTCCTTCTTTTCTTTTTAAAAATTGCATGTTGTATTTATTTGGCTGTGCTGGTTCTTAGTTGCAGAATGTGGGATCTCTTAGTTGTGCTGTGTGGGATCCAGTTCCCTGACCAGGACTGGAAGCCAGGCCCCCTGCTTTGGAAGCACAGAGTCTTAGCCACTGGACCATCAGGGAAGCCCCCCTTCTTCTTTTAAAGGCAGCCCCCTGGCCTGTGATGAGGACTGGAAATCAACTTCTCACTGAGTCATGTGTGTTTCGATCAGATTTCCTGGTGAAAATGGAGTCCAAGACGTGGTCCTAAGACCCCAATGTTACGAAAGGCTGCCCACCGCAAGTGTGAGAATAGGCTGCCTCATAGGGGTGAGCTGGTGTCCCCACTGCTGGGGTGGGTAGTTTGGGCAGTTCTGGTGGGGCATGCACCAAACTCCAGCCTGTGGGATTACAACAACCGCCTGTTAACACAGGAGCGTCTAGGCGTGTCGTGCAGTCCCAGCCACGCTGGCTGCCATCGATCACAGCTGAGAAATAAAGCTCTGTGCCCAATTAGCATGGAGAACGTGGGATTCCATTTCATGGGCTTTAAAACATACAAAAGAGACTGTGGCAAATGATAACAATATCGACATGAAACTCTGGACTCAACCTTGGTCTCAAATCCAGTTGGTATCAAACAGCTTTCCTTGCAGTTCCACCGCTCACTGCCCTCTCCTCCTCTGTCTTTTTGAAGTCAGATGGTACTGCAGGTTGGAACTTGCAGATCATTTCATGAGGGGGTGACAGAAGGAGAGCCTCACCCTGGTCTGTCCTTGCCAGTGACCTCCATGTAATCATGTCCTGTGTCTGCATCCTTCTAGAAAGCAGCAGGCCTGCTATCAGCTCAGAAGCTCACTCTGAGAGAGTCCCAGTTAAAAAGCGTCTATCTCAACTTAGGAAATAAACCACCGCCCCCCCAAAGCATAATTATTCTTAGAATCTTGACAGATTTCCTTGGGTCTTTCCTTTTTTTTCATTTTATTTATTTATTGGCTGTACTGGGTCTTTGTTGCAGTGTGCGGGCTTCTCTACTTATTGCACACAGGCATCCCTAGTTGTGGTGCACGGACATAGTTGCCCCTTGGCACATGGGATCTTAGTCCCCTGACCAGGGATCAAACCCACATCCCCTGCATTGGAAGCGGATTCTTTACACTGGTGGTGCTGGTGGTTCAGTTGCTCAGTCGTGTCCGACTCTCTGCGACCCCATGGACTGCATCACGCCAGGCTTCCCTGTCCTTCACCATCTCCCAGAGAGAGTATATTCCCACCGGACCACACCTGACTGAAGTCACACAGTGCTGCCCTGTCCCCGCAGATCCCCCCTCACCCCTGGGCACTGAGCCGTCTTCCCTGCCATTTGCGTTAGTGTTTGGCTGGATTTTTTTTACCCACAGTCACTCATGTTACCTGCCTGGCCCGGGAGACACATGAGTTTGCAGTGCTGGCTCTGACCCGCTGCTCAGCCGTGTAGGCTCCAGCTGTGAGGCACCCACGGTGCACTACTCACCCTCTGTGTTCCGAAGTGTGTTCCATGAGCTCATCCACTGCTGAGCCTCGGTCAAGGTGGTCCCTTTCCCATGAGGGGCGGGAGGGTGAAGGGAGGCAGGGGATTAAGCCTAGTGGGTAGAATTTGCTCATTTTTCTTCACCAAAATCCTTCAAACATTCAGGCTTGTGCAGGGCTAGCATCCAGTATTCCATGGCACCTGCTTTTACACACACTTTTCCGCTTCGTCTTTCCTGTTTAACGTGTCAGTATTTCACTGTGTTCTGCAAGGGGCAGCATGACTTCCAAGGATTCTGCCATCTGCACACGTCTGAGAGCTGAGGAATCAGCAGGTTGAATTCTTTTTCTCCAGATCTCTCTGCCTCCCATTGGCTTCCTGGCTAATGCCAGCAGCAGTCGGAATTAGAAAGTAGGACAGTAGGAAGTGGGCCATTTCTATTCCATTTTGAACCCTGTGTGTGTCTGGCCCACGTGGAGATTAGAGCCTGCCGCCCAAACCGACAAATAGACAACACACCCTAGTGCCCTCTTCCTTTGGGGGGCCCCATGTTATTTGCATCCTCCTGGCATTTTAGAGGGACAGGCAGACCCCAGGATGTGACACGCGGCAGAGTGAGCAGTTGGGAAATGTCGGGTACTCCTTGGAAGGTGCATTAATGAAGGAGGGGATTGTGGATTCCAAGAAGTCACTCTGCAGAACCGGACCACAGTTCTGTGAAGACTTCAGTGATTTGTGGTGCTATTGTTTAGCATGTTATTAAAATGTTTTTCTGCAGAGTCCTTCAACCTTGGGAGATGCACCATGTTCTGCCACTCGGTGGGGGAAGAGGAAGAGATCCGGGGGTGGGAGCGGGAGCAATGTAGGGCACAGCACACACTCCCCACCGGATTCTCGGCAGAAAACATGGTCAATGTTTTCCCCACTCCCCGCCCCCATCTGCTGCCACATTTACTCTCAAAGCTGTTAAATATATTTTTTGCTGAAATAGGAGCTGCCACGTTCTCCCCACAAGCTGGAGGTTTGACTTGGGGTTGAGATGTTCCAGCCTGGGCGCCGCCAGGATCACGTGGAGCCCAGCAGACACGCTGCTCTGCCAGGGGCCACTCACAGGAGCCACGTGGTTCCTTCCCAGGACCCTGGGCTCACACTGCTTTTGGGGACTGGCCCAAATCTCCCAGGCCAGAAAAGAGTGCAGACCCC